ACAAACAAAAGAAACACATTCTTATGTAGGTTTTGTGCGAACATAAGGTTTCAGCTCATTTGGGAAAATACCATGGACCGTGATTGCTGGCTCTTACTCTATGTAGTGAGAGTGTATTTTATTTTGAAAGAAGATTCCTGTCTTCCAGTGTGGGTGTTGCAAATGCCATTTCCACCTGCGATGAACTAGGATTCCCTGTGGCTTTGCATCTTCACCGATATTTGCTGTTCTGAATATTTTGACTTTTACCCACTTAAGAAGTGTTTAGTGATCCCCATTGTTTTCTTTGCAATTTCCTAATGACATTTGATGTGGAGCATGTTTCATTTTGCTTATTTCCCATCTAGATCTCTTCTTCAGTGAGCTGTCTGCAGATCTTTTGCCCATTTTTAATTGCATTTTTTTACTCTATCAAAGTTTAAGAATACTTTGCATATTTCGCATACCAATCATTTATCCAGCAGTGTTTTACAGACATTTTCTCTGACTCTGAATTATGTTGATCTTCCCTTTACCCCATCTTTCTCAGAGGAGGAGTCTTTCCTTTTAATTAAGTAAAATTTCTGGTGTTGTCTTTTCTGGACCTTGCCTTTGGTTTTCTATGTGAAAATTCATCAACATACACAAGGTCATCCAGATTTTCTTCTACGTTCTCTTGTAGGAGTGTATTCCTTTGGCATTTTACATTCAGATGTGTGATGTGTTTTGACTTAATTTTCCTGAAAAGTGTCAGGCCTGTGACTACATTTGTTTCGTGCGTGTGTATTTGCACGGGCATATCCATTATTTCGACCACTGTGTGTTTAAAATACCTTCTTTTTCATTTGAATCTCCTTTCCTTCTTTGTCAAAGCTCAGTTGACTCTATTCGTGTGGGTCTAGAAGGAAAGCAGTCGACTCACATATCCTGCAAACTTGCTGTGCTCTCATTAATCCCAGGAGTCATTTCTGTCATTGTGAATTCTTCCAGTTGTTGCATAGAGACAGTCATATCGTATGGAACAAGCACCATGAATTCCGCTACAGGATTTGTGAAGGTGTTCTTTCTCAAGAAGTGGAAGTTCCCCTCTATTACTAGTTTATCATAAGTGGATGTTGCGTTTTCTCAATTCTTAGTTTATATTCATTTCTGACAAGCAGCTTTTTTCTTTTCATTTTGTCCATTGATTTCCCACAATGACGTTCATTTCCTTTCTGATTTTTATTATTTTTGCTGTGGGTTTAACTTGCTCTTCTTTTTATTTTTTGCTAAGGTATATGCTTGCATTTGTGATTAGAGATCTTTGATTTTTCCCGTGTATTTGTTTGATGGCATGAATTTCCCCCTATATACTCCTTTCGCTACATCCAAGAACCTTTGCTATCTTGTGTTTTCATTCTTTTAGTTCAAAATAATTTTTCATTTTTCTTGAGACTTCTAGTTTGATATTCTCTATTATTTGAAGTGTATTTTTAAATCACCACATATGAGGGGGTTTTCCGACTATTGGTGGTATTGCCTTCTAGAGGAATGCCTATGTGGTGTGAGAGCCTATTTTGGATGATTTCTGTTCTTTCAGATTTGTTAAGGTGTGCTTTATGTCCCAGAATGTGGTTGGTTTTGGTGAATGTTCCATGTGAACCTGAGAAGAATGTATATTCTGCTGTTCTGTGAAATATTCCGCAGATTACAATGAAACCCAGCAGTTTCGCAGTGCTGTTCATTGCACCTCTGTCCTTCCTCACTTCCTGCCTACTGAAATGTCTAATTCCCGATGAGGGGGTGTTGACTTGTACAGCTGTGGTACTGGATCTGTCTGTCTCTCCTGCATTTGATCAGTTCCTCCCTGAGGTGTGTTGCCCCTCTGTTGTTAGGCAGGTACACATGCAGCGTTGCTGTGTCTTCTCAGAGAATAGGCCCCTTTATCCATACCTACTGCCCCTCTATCTCGGCATTTTCCTCAGTTTGAAATCTGCATTGTCTATGATCTCTGTTCCTCTGGCAGCTTCCTTTGGATTCGTGTTGGCATGGTCTGTTTTTCTCCATCCCTTTACCCTGCATCTCTCTGTGACTTTATACTTAGAGTGGGTTTCTTGTAGACAACATATAATGATCTCTTTTTTTCCTAAAGATTGGCGTCTGAGGTAACATCTGTTGCCAATCATTTTTTTTTCCTTTCTAGATTGGCACGTGAGCTAACAACTCTTGCCAGTCTTTTTCTCCCCAAATCCCCACAGTATATAGTTATATCTTTTAGTTGTGGCATGTGAGATGCTGCCTCAATATGGCCTGATGAGTGGTGCCATGTCCACGCCCAGCATCTGAGCCCTGGACCACCGAAGCAGAGTGCACGAACTTAACCGCTTAGCCTCAGGGCTGCCCCTATGATGGTGTTTTTTGAAATCTATTACTGTGTGTTTCAGGTGTAATGACACCGTTGATGATTAAAGTTTTTATTGATTCAGTTGGATTAGTATTTACAAAAATTTTTACTTTCTCCATTTTTACTCTTGTTTGTTTTTGTCTTTTTGCCACCTTCTCTGGCTAAAATTGAGCATTTACTGTAATTCTTTTTTTCTCCTCTCTTAGCATATCTGTTACACACTTTTTAAAAAACGCATTTTAGCGGTTCCCCTTAAAGTTTCAGCATACATTTACAACTAAGCCACCCCTCTGCCAAGTGACACTGTGCCACTTCACTGTGTGCAAGTACCTCTTAACACACTGTCCCCAATTTTCCTTTCCCTGTGTCTTCTCACATTGCTGTCATTTATTTCTCTTGCCGGAAGCTTCTCATTACCAAATACGTTCTTCCTGATGTTAATTTAAACAAAGTGTCATCTGTTGTATTAATTATAGGAAACATAAAAGATACTTCCCCTCATTTTTTCTTCTTCTAATCCCCTGCCTTTATCATTTACATTCTTTCTTGTAAGCTTTCGAACAGTCTCCTTCAAAGTATGTGTATTTGGGACGAATTTCCTCACATTTTGTCTCAGAAAGTCCTTATTTCTTCCTTGTACTGAAGGATGATTTTGCTTGACCGAATTCTGGGAAAGTGGGTTTTATTTTCAACACTTATCTTTCAGTCTCCTCTGTTCTTGTTGCATGGTTTTTGAGAAGAAGTCCGATTTAACTCCAATCTTTGTGTCTTTCTGTCGAAGTTGTGTTTCTTCTCTGGGATTTTTCAGTACATTCTCTGTCTGTGATGTGTCTCTAGTTTCAGTCTGATACCCTTGGGTGTGCACTTTGTACTTTATTGTAGTTAGTGTTCCGTGAGCTTCCTGGATGGACAGTGTTCTGGCTATCATTAATTTTATGGTTTTTTGGTCATTACTATTTCACGTTTTCCTCTGTCTCGCTCTGCTTTTCTTTTCCTTGAGGTTTTCCCATTATGTGGATTTTAAACCTTCTCTTATAGAGGCTGTCCTAGGCTTCATGGAAATTGGGTTCTGTGTTTCCTGTGATTTTTGCCCTTGCATTAGACTCTGGGGAAATAGATTTCTTTTTTTTTAGTACAGGCCTTATTAAGAACAGAACATGTGGGGCATATTGCAAAATGCCATCTTTTTTTTTTTTTCCCAAGTTTGGAGACTCTGGTTTGTCCTGGGACCTCAAGGCTCTCCTGGATCTAAGAAGGGTTGTCCATCTCAAGTTTGCTAATTTTTTTCTTGTGAGATCAAGAATGACAACTTCTAAGCTCCTTAGGCGCAGGATCAGAAGTCGGCAGGGCATCATCCAGAGTGGGTGGTCAGGAAACAGTTCCTCTTGATGTTGGAGAAAGGAAATTTTATGTTGTTTTGGAGGAAACCACTGTTAAATCCTTCATGTATTTTATCATCATGGGCACATTTAACATCAAAGCATTGTGGACTTCAAGGAACTCCCTTGCCATCTGCAGCTCTCTATTTTTTGTGTTCTTTAAAGATTGGCCCCTGAGCTAACAAGCGTTACCAATCTTCCTCTTCTTTCTTTTTCCCCTGCTTTTTTACCCCAACCCCCCAGTACATAGTTGTACATTGTAGTTGTGAGTGCTTCTGGTTGTGCTGTGTGGGCCGCTGCCTCAGCATCGCCTAATGACCAGTGCCATGTCCAAAGTGGAGTGTGCGAACTTAACCACTCAGCCACCGGGTCAGCCCCAATCTGCAGCTCTTAACCTACCCCTCAAGGGGAGCAAAGCTCAGGGTACTCCGTTGACATTTGACTAGAAAGAGCTCTTATGGCACATTATTATCTCAGAGTGTGTTCTAAAAATGGTGACAAGTAGCTTTGAGGCCAGTGAGTGTAGGGATCTTCTGGTCTAAGTTTTCATGGCTTCTTCCTTGTGGCTGAGCTCTCACTTCATAATAATTCCAGCCCCATCAAATCATACAGAGTGACAAAGGTAGAACCGAGTCTGTGATAGATACTACGCAAGTTAAAAGCAGCGTTTCACCACAAGAATATTTACATTCAGCCAGCTGCATCTGATTACCTCTAATGGCCTGGAGTAGTTTAGGACAGTGTGGGCAGCTGGGCTTGGTCAAAGTGTGATTTCACAGGCCTTCTAGACTCTCAGTTTGGTGATGGGACCAGACCAAAAAGCTTCCAGTTGTTCACTATGTTTTTATTCACTGACACATCCTGTAGATTTCACCCTAGCCTCATGGAGTGCTGTAACCAGTGGGTAATGTGGAAGAAGATGAAAGAAGTTTTCTTACGAAGAATCATTGGTCCACAAACGATATTTGCTTCATTTGTATAGCATTTCTGTCATTTCCCAACCTGTTCTGGAACTTGTTATTAGAGAGAAATAGGATGTAATGTCATCACAGTAAAAGTGTGTAAATATTTCCATGTGTTCATAATATTGTTAAATTGATGAGCATTGTGTACAGAAAAAGCGAGTTTGTGATGATCACAACGTAGAGTAAATGTTTCGAGATAATTGAATCCCATGTGACCTTCCTAGAATTGGAGTCTAGATCCCCAGTGCTGTCAGGCTCATGTATCCTACTCTACACACATTTGTGGTGTTTTAGGACTCAGTGGCCATTGAGGATGTGGCTGTGAACTTCACACCAGAGGAGTGGGCTTTACTGGATCCTTCACAGAAGAGACTCCACAGAGATGTGATGTGGGAAACCTTCAGGCACCTGGCCTCAGTAGGTAAGAATGAGGACATTCCTTCACTGCATCAATGAGAGAACAAGTGCTGCTTGACCATCAAGAGTGTTGTAAGGGGCTGGCCTGGTGGCATGGTGGTTACATTCACACGTTCTGCTCCAGTGGCCCAGGGTTCACTGGTTCAGATCCTGGGCGCAGACATGGCACCGCTTGTCAAGCCATGCTGTGTCAGGCGTCCCACATATAAAGTAGAGGAAGATGGGCACAGATGTTAGCTCAGGGCCAGTCTTCCTCTGCAAAAAGAGGAGGATTGGTAGCAGAAGTTAGCTCATGACTAATCTTCCTCAAAAAGAAAACCAACAACAGTGTTCTAAGGTGTAGAATGTGGAAAGGTGATGTTATTAAAGTAGAAATGGTCATCGATTATCACATACTTAGAATGTAAATGTTCTTCTATAGTTTCTAATAATTGTAATAAACGTTCTTTGTCTACATTTCAGGAATAACATGGGAAGGTCATGATATTGAAGATCAGTACAAAGACCTGGGGAGAAAACTCCGGTGAGTGACACAGTAAAACCTCTGTCTCATGTAAGAATCCTTGCATGTCAAGACATTTTTTTTTTAAAAGAGCAAACAAAAGAAAAAGCCCTTGCTTCACATTTAGGTATTCTTCAAGGATTTTCGTCAAGTACACTTTCCGAAATGTGATGCAGTGGTTCACTTTTTGCAATATATTTTCACTTAGTAATAGTAATAATGAATCATATCTATGAATATTGCTGTTTGGATAATAGAAAATTCAGTGTATTTATTTCAGAGAATTCACAGAAAGAAGAAAACAAACATTTCCTATAAATCATAATAACATAAGAAATATAAAATCATTGATAGAGAAATCACTAACAATGTGCTTCTCATTTGTACAGAAGGCATATGGTAGGGAGACTCCGTGAAAGTGAAGAGGATAGTCAGTGTGGAGAAAACATCAGCCTTCTTGCAAATCTCAGTCTGAGCAAGAAAATTACAGGAGCTAAACCATGGGGATGCAGTGCCTGTGGAAGAGCCTTCACACATCATTCATTGCTGAAAATGCACATTAGATGTCACGCTGAACATAAAACATATGACAGTCAAAAATATGAAGAGAAGCCATATAAATGTATTGAATGTGGGAAAGCCTTCACTTATCTCACTTTACTTCAAACGCATGAAAGAACTCATACTGGGGAGAAACCCTATGAATGTAAAAAATGCAGTAAGGCATTCACTACTTCCAGTTGTCTTCAAGTCCATGAAAGAATTCACACTGGAGAGAAACCCTTTAAATGTAAAATATGTGGTAAACCCTTCACTTCTACCATTTGTCTCTCAACACATGGAAGAACGCACACTGGAGGGAAACCCTATGAATGTAAAAAATGTGGTAAAGCATTCAGTTCTTCCAGTTATCTTCAAATACATGAGAGAACTCACACTGGAGAGAAACCCTTTAAATGTAACATATGTGGTAAAGCCTTCATTTCTACCACTAGTCTCTCAGTACATGCAAGGAGTCACACTGGAGAGAAACCCTATGAATGTGAAAAATGTGGTAAAGCATTCGCTACTTCCGGGTCTCTTCAAATACATGGAAGAATTCATACTGGAGAGAAACCCTATGAATGTAAGAAATGCAGTAAAGCATTCACATCCTCCAGTAATCTTCAAATACATGCAAGAATTCATACTGGAGAGAAACCCTATGAATGTAAAAAATGTGGTAAAGCCTTCATTTCTTCCTGTTCTCTTCGAGTTCATGAAAGAACTCACACTGGAGAGAAGCCCTTTAAATGTAACATATGTGGTAAAGCCTTCATTTCTACTGTTTGTCTCTCAAGACATGGAAGAACTCACACTGGAGGGAAACCCTATGAATGTGAAAAATGCGGTAAAGCATTCACTTCTTCCAGTTATGTTCGAGTACATGGAAGAATTCATACTGGAGAGAAACCCTATGAATGTAAAAAATGCAGTAAAGTATTTCTTTGTTCCAGTAATCTTCGAGTCCATGAAAGAAGTCACACTGGAGAGAAACCCTTTGAATGTAAAATCTGTGGTAAAGCCTTCAGTTATAACAGTTCTCTTTCAAGACATGAAAGAACTCATACAAGAGAGAAACCCTTCGAATGTAAAACATGCAGTAGAGTATTCACTTTTTCCAGTTCTCTTGAAAAACATGAAAGAACTCACAGTGGAGAGAAAGCCTCATGAATGGCAGGAAAGTGAGATAGTCTTTACTTCTCATGCAGACTTTTGAGGATATGCACAAATGCACACGAGAGGATAAACCATGTAGACATAAACAATTTGGGATAGATTTTGTCATCCCAGTTCTTCCTGAAGCCATGAAAGGACTCACTTGATAAAAATGTCTTGAATGTAAACAGCATGAGAAAGACTTCAGTTGGCCTACATCTTTCTGTGTGAAACTCCTACCAAAAAGAAATGTAAAGGTAAGTCCTATGAAAAAGCTTCATGGAATTTAATTTGGATGTGAGCTTCTAGAAAAGTTTCAACAGGAAAGAATTGTTATAAAAGTAGTAAGTAGATTGTATTTATCAAACTTCTTTCTTAAAGTGCAACATTGGACTGTGGATTTCTATTAATTACTTCAGAAATGAATATTGAGGTGAGATGGGTCATCCTTCATAAATAGTAAATAAGATTCATAGGTAGTGCTTTTCCCTTAAATCAGTTAATAATTTCTTATCTTTACTTTTTTTATAATGTTTTAATTTTTCTCTGTTAAGGGGCCATTGAAAAGTGACAGTTTGTATTTGTTGTGATTTTCTTAGTGGCCTTGTATTTACAGTTCCTGCATGTGTCTCATCCATTGTACATATTGTACATGTTTTAGAGAAAGCTCCTTGATTGGGTTGGTGGGTGGAGGAGCCTGTTTTTATTTTCTGTACTGTTAAACAGTTGGAAAAATTATGTATGGCAAGTTTATCCAGTAGTGTACTTCCTGTGAATTATTTTCCTATTTGGGCCTTTGCTGTTTGTCCTTCCTTCTGACTGGCATTTGGTGAATAGACTTTGAATTAAGTAGAGGCCTGTGGCAGGGCAACAAAATCTAGTGCTGGACACATCACCCCTGTACTGCATCATGTCAGTGAGGGTAATCTGAAGAGCTAGATCTTTAAGAATCCATCCCCTTTATGTGCCGTGTTGGAATTGCCCAATGGCCTCACTTACATGAGATCTGGAAGGCAGAAGCACACAGGGCCTTAGGCAGATTTTTGAGTGACGACACAGGGAGGGACACAGTTCCATATGAGCTTCAAGGACACCACCTTCCATCCGTTTTTCTGGATTCTTTGCCCTTCTTGTCAAGAGTATCTTGAAAACCACCAATAACTAGTTGATTTCCATTTTGTTAGAGATGCATTTTCCACCAGTTTCACATCAAAGATCCATTCGAGTTAGGGTCTTTCTGTAAGGCCTCTTGTGTCCACCAGGAAGCTAATTCAGACCTTTGTGGGTGGGAGTATTGTCTGATTCCTCTTTTCTCTAGATGATAATGGAATAAGGTCTGATATGTATAGGAAACACCTTGTGCTGTTGATAGTGCTAGTGAGCACATTTTCCTGCTTGACCATGGCATCTCCAATGGGACATAAAAAGAAGCACCTGTGAGTTTGTTTCCCTGCTGCGTTGTGCAGTGGCTGCCTTGACCCAGTTGTTCTATGTGAGAACAATCACCTTGCGTGTGCTGGGAAGACTGTGTGTTTCCTGTTACTTGTAGCTTGAATGGATTCCCTTGATGTGTTCTCAGTAACATTTGACTGTATGTCAATAAAACTATGTCCATTTGTTTGTGAAATAAACACTTCTGTAGTTTCATTGATATATTTTATCAACTGTTCCAATGCATCCTATGTTAATAAATATTATTGTGGATTTCATTTTTACAGACTATATTAATATCCATTTTTGATTATGGATTTTCAGATATACTTTGCAAGGTTCTTCATTTAATCATTATACATTGTGAGTCAATTTTATCATGTGCAGACCAATTCAGGGATTTCTTCCTTGGGCAAAGTGTATTTCTTATTCATTTACAGTTACAATTTTTGACATGAAAATAATTTCTCATGCATTTTTAAGCCAAAAATTAACCATCATTTTTTTTTCAGTGCCCTCTTCCAGTGACCTGCAGGATTACACTTGCAGTCAGAGAGGGGTGTAAGGAATTCTAGTAAGAATGACCACAGACCTAAAGCACCTTGAGGTGTAACCGTAACGGTGCTGAAAGGACTTCTTACAAGATTTTGACCTGTGTTTGTGTATTTGACTGCAATTCAAGGAGGCAGGTTATTTTCTGTATTTGTTGATGTGAGGAGGTAAACGTAATTCTACCTTTTGTAAACCTTTTTTTCGTGAACCGAATCATTGTTTTGTAGAACGGAAAAACAATGTAGTGAAGGTAAGTTAATTTTTAAGAAGTTCCAGTGAGTCATTTTAGTAAGAAGAAGGAAAAGAATGATTTTTAGGATTTGGACTTTTATCCTTTATCATTTTTACCTCTATGGTCACAAAATACTGTTAGTTTTGTCTTGGAAACTGTACTTTTAATGAACAAGCCGTCGGACACTTTTCTTTTCAGCAGGGTAAGACCTGGCCTTGCAGTGGATGCAGCCAACTCATGGTCAACTGGAACAGCTTTGCTTTTCCTACTTACACTCAACACACCACTGTATTTCCTATGGTGAATTAGACCCTGTTTACTGTGAAGTACCTCATTGAAATACATAAATTCTCTCCTTGGTATTCTACATAATATTTTCACTATGTCCTTTAGACTCAGCTGAGGCCTTTGAGTTTAGGTAACTTGTGAGACAATGCAAACCCAGCCGGCCAAATAGGACCGCTGTCCCACTCTGAAGCCTTTCCTTCTCTGAAACTCTGCTGTTGCTGGTACCGTTTCAGCGTCCCTCACAGGCCATGCAGTGTGGAGTTGGTGTACACACTGTAGCAGAGCTGAGACACAGTAGGATCTGGATACAGAACATGAAACAGATGAGTCCTGGTAGTCCTGGTGCTTCTATGTTTGTGGAAAAGCAGAAGTGGTCACAGTGAAGCTTTGTTTTATATAATAGAAATAAGGCCTTTGAAGAAAAGTAAAAAATAGCATTGAGCTATTAGGCTGAGGTGTGTTTATATCTTTTCCATGAGTGTAGGAGTAAGCGAGGATGTCATTATTATTGTTACCTGGGACTTGAGACCTCCTATTGATCTAAGCCACAGATGTTTGTATTGTCTTTTGTTTTTAATGTCATTTGAGAGGATTTTTATATTACCATTAAATATTTAACATCTTATCGTTTTTGGCATTTTTGTTTTGCTGCTCTACAGACTGGAGTGTGCAACATACACCCCATTAAACCATGGAGTTCCTCCCACTTAGAGAGACAGTAGCCTTCATCTGCACTGTTCTGGCTCATCCTGTGTGAATTCTATGAGTAGAGTGACATCTCTGTGAGTCCACTGTGATCTCCCCATGGAAACAACACAAAGAGCTCTGGCTGGTTAGAGGCAACCAGCCAAGGAATAAGTGACTGAGCTGGAGAGAGAGGGTGTCACTCTGAGTAACATCCTAATTGAGTGTAAGAGGAGAAATGGGAAATTTTCAACAACTTTTCATCACAGGAGTGACTGGAAGTCTTTAATTTCAATGATCCAGAACGCTGCGGAGCCCAGGCAGCTGATCACAGGTTTCATTTCCGTATGCTTAGACGTCCAGCACATGGTGTGGAAAATTGCGAAACAGCAACAACAGCTTCAAGGTTTAAAACAGCGAAGGGAACAGAATGTTTTCCTGTTTTTTTTAGTGTGAACTTATGAATTGGAGGGGTTTCATTCAAATGGACACCATAGGATTGTTCTTTTGAGGTGATGGAATTTTTTCATCTTTTGATGGCAGTATTCCTAACATTTCTGAAAACTCATGAGAGCACTTAAGTATATTATATATATGTTGTATATGTAATTATTAGAAAGTGAATAGTGTACTTGCTTTCATATGCTGGAAGAATGTTAAGGTCTCCTGAACCTGGATTTTTACGTGTTCAAATTTTCAACCACTGTGGGATCCTTCTTAGGAAGATTGCAGGACTGAGAAGAAGGACTCAGTCCTCAACAGGCCTTTCTTGCACCCCTGTCTCAATTTAAAAAAACGCCTTCTAGGGTTGCACCTGCCCTCAGCTCATACTCAAAACTAGGAGTGAAGTGAGAGGGCTTCCAGACTCTGTCTTTGAGTTTAAGTCAGGTTCATGGAGAGGTCTTTGGAAATACCATGGTCTAAAACGTAAATGTGTGTCTCAAGCAGAATCTGCCTGGGGACATCCTCATTCATGTGTGTCAGCATCAGATCTCACTGCCATCCACAGACCATTTTCAGCTGCTCATTTCCCAACCCAGGCCTACTCTGTGCCTGCTTACTTGGAACATCTTTAGAAATCCACACGTGTCCCACTGTACATTTTCTCTGAGGCAAAAGGAGGGGGCTGTGAGCTGAGAGGGTGACAGAAGCAATGGTAGAAACCATGTCATGGGCACATTCTGTCAGCCACAATGACAGCCATTTCAAATTTATCAGATCTGCTTGCTTACTCATTCACAGGAGACTTAAAATGGACTGACTTTGAATTGGGAAACGAAAGCTCTGGAATCTTTGATAGAACATTCCATTAGTGTCCCCCTCCCCACAGTCCTTCTCAAAGATGCCTTAGCAGCCTCTCACTGAGCATCCAAGAGTCTCTAAACCCCCGTGGTGGACATAAATTACCCACGGCATTCTTGTTACAGAACTATTGTCTTCATTGGGTGCTGCACACAATTAGAGAAGCCACTGCTGTCAACTGACGGAGTCTTTATGTAAATGGAGTGCCTTCCAGGGCCTGAGTGGATGATGATCCAAGCCAGCTTCCCATTTTGCCTTGGGTCCTGCATGCAGGACATCCCAGGCTATCTAATCAGAAGCCTCCTCATTGAAGAGATGGGTATTTACAGCATGGAGCCAACATTGCTCCTCTGGAATATCCGATGAACAAGTGAGAAGTGTTTTTGTTCTTGTCTGATGTGATCCATTCTGAGGAGATCATTTCCATTTTAGACACACTGGCCACTTGGACAGTCACTTAGGAGCACATGGGTGACCAGGGTGTTCATAAACTTTATGGACAGTGTGCACCACCCCACCCAACAGAGTCCACTGCAGAGATGCTGCCTTCTGTCACTACATCAGACAGGCTGTCCTTGATCAAAGAATGGACTGAAGCCTCAGAGTGATCAGTCAAACAGCAGTCATGTTAGGAATAGAAAGTTTCTTAGCCCAAAATCCAACCCGTCTACACTTTTACAGATCCTGGGCCGTTACCGATGATCTAGCTGTGTGGTCCCACCAATAGCACCAACCACTTCTCCAAGGTTGCCCACTATGTCTTTCAGAATTCTGGGAATATCTTGCCTCACAAATATCCAAGTACAAGTCTGGCCGTTCCTTACTCTGCCCATATTAAACCTCAATCTGCAGAGGCTGATTTGTATTGTTCAGGGTGATAAATTGACTTGAATTTCTGAGACACATATCAGCACCTCAGACCTGATGGTATTAACCTTGGCCTTATTGTCCCACATAACGTGAAACCACTTACAGACCTCCAACTTAAGAGTCTAGGCCAAATTCAAGCGATTTCCCTCCTCTGCCATGGTTAACCCAGTGATGGACCAGTGAACCTGATGTGAAAAAGCAAGTCACTGGTGAAATCAGTGGACACACCTTCCAGGGTGAGGAAGGGGTCCCTACAGCTGACGGCAAATAGGCTTGGTAGACCCATCCCCCTCCTTGGGCTACTTGGTGTGCTTATACCATGGTAGAACTTGATGTGGACAAATTACTCATGTCATACATTACCCTGCTGAAGCCAAAATGCAAGGACTTGCCAAGATGCTCTTAAATTTATTGATATTATCAGCTCAATCCTGAAAAGAGGAAACACGGGGCTCTCGAATAGGTTGTTCAGTGGACATTTTCCCTCTTCTACCACTGCAGGCTACCCCCCTCCTAGGATGGTCTAATGGCCTCCTCAGGCCAATTTGCTTTCTTCTCAGTGGACCTTCCTGCTGTGGGAGGCATTGATTAGACTCAATCCCAGTCTTTGGGGCTCATTGATTTGTTGTCATCGTCAGGCTCAGTGGCACCTGATAGATAGAGGCCTTTCCCTACTGGACATTCCAGCCAGAACGGTCACTCCTGCAGGTCTCTGGTTTATTGTAACAGTGCACCCTGGCCACCACTGTCATATCCCGCTGCCAGGTCTTCCCCTCACATCACCTGTGGTCTATGTTCCCTGCGTGTCGATACTTCATTTGGGGCACCTCCTTCAAAACCCCTCTGGCTCATCACATACGGATGTGCTGTTTTCCTACCATTTGCACTAACGTGCACATTGTCATGGGAGTCACTGCTACTGACCCGGGCACACATGACGTCATTCAACAAACATCTTTCCTGACAATCAAGAAATGTCCAAAACACTCGAAATACATGTAGCAGACAGCTAGTGTTTGAGATGTTTCCCTGAAGGAAACCTCCCTGGCAGCCGTGGTAGCTGCTGACCAGTTGGCCTTAAAGTTTTTATTACCCATCTGGGGAGAGCTCTCTTCCTCTAATAGGCCTGCCTGTGGTATGTGGGTAGGAAGCTGACACCAATAACACAACAAATAAGACAACAGATTAAAATAATATCACTTAAATATTTGAACAGAGTTCTGGAAACATACTTACACGTTTCTGGATCCCTCCACACATTTGGATGACTTGATTCAAATGGTTTTTGGGGCTTTGTCATCTTAAATATGTTTGCACTTTTCACATAGCTGTTTAAGTAGTATTCAAAGCAAAGTTATTTGAATAGTGGCATTATTCAGTCAACCAACCTCAGGAGTGAACACTCATAAAGACGCTGACCTCATTTTCAACATTTGACTCTCAATCAGCTGTAGATGCCTGCTCACCCTGTCATGCCCACAACAGTAAACAAGTTATGAAGGTTGACATGTGCCCCTTTGCTTTTTGTGTCTGCAGATGGGAGGCTCAGGCCTGTAAATCCTGAAGCCTCTAAACCTACACATCTTAAATAGCCAGCCTGTGGTCCTTTGCACAAGCCACATGAAAAAGCTTTCGCTTGGCCTATTCTCTTTAGAAGGTATTTTGGAGTAATAAACTTTTATATGAACTTACTGCATGTGGCAACATAGTCCTGGCATCTTGTCTGAAGGTAGTGTATTAATCCTGCCCCCAAAATGGCAATGATGAAACAGAAGGTAGCTCATGGAAAATGTCTTTCTCATAATGCACAGGACCTCAGTGTAGGGAATTCTTAGAAGCAGTATAGGAAAATCAAGATAAAGTATCAACAGAAAAAGGACTATTTTATCTATGAGATGCTTTATGCAAATCTCATGGTAACCACAAAACAAAAATTTAGAGCAGAGGAACCAAGCATTAAAAAAGAGGAAACAGAAAAACATCATTGGAAACCACAAAGTAAAATGGCAGACAGAAACACAAGGGAAAAAGAAAACTGGAGATATAGACCAATTAGAAAACAAAAGGCAGAATGGCACTGGTAAGTCCTCCCAGATCAATAATCAGCCTAAATGTAAATGGATTGAAATCACCAAAAGGCCCAGAGTGGCTGCATGGAGTAACAGACATGACCCGACTCTCCAGGACACTCAGCTCAGCTCTAAAGACAAACACGGGCTCAAAGCGAAGGGGCAGAAGAGGAGCCTCCAGGCAAATGGCAGCCAAAAGAAAGGGGGTGTGGCCATGCTGACATCAGACGAATAGACTCCAACCACAAAACAGTAACCGCAGAGATGGACATTATATAGTGATAAAGGGGCTAACCCCTCAGGATGCCGTAACAGTTAATAATCTATGTGCACCCACACGGAAACACTCAAATATATACAGCACCCATTTGCACACCTCAAGGGAGACATTGATAGCAATGCCATAATAGTAGCAGATTTTAACTCCCCACATACATCAGTGGGTAGGTCACCCAGACAGAAAGTCAACAAGCAAACATTGGCCTTAAATGAAACACAGCAACAGACACACTTCCTAGATATATACAGACCGTTCCATCCAAAGGCAGCAGAATACCATCCTCCTCAAGTGCACGCGGAACATTTGTGTTGGGACACAAAGCAAGTCTCAGTAAATTTAAGAAGACTGAAATCACATCAAGAATCTGTTCTGACCACAATGGTATGAAACCAGAGGTCAACTATGGGAAGAAAGCTGGAGAAATCACAAATCTGTGGAGAGAAAACAACAGGCTGCTGAACAACTACTGAGTCAGTGTTGTCACAGATGAAATCTTGCCATTTCTGACAACGTGGATGGATGTGGAGGGTGTTATGCTAAGTGAAGTAAGTCCGAAGGAGAAAGAAAAATGCCGTATGTTTTCCTCACGTGGAGTATAAAGCAAAAACAAACTCAGGCCCTGTCACCCAAGCTGCCCCTCCGAGGGCTTTCCTCCTGGAAAGGAGAGGACTTCAAATTGTCAAAGCCTGCCCCCACGGCCTGTTGCTGAGGGTGACCAAGTGGGGTGCGAGTTGGCTCGAAAAGTTGGGACACTGTTTCACTCCCTCCACATGGAACTGAGGTGACATCTATGGGGCGGTGACCTGACAATCCTGGGGCACCAGTCCCCCTGTCCCAGCTGCTGAGGTGGCTGGAACATAAGTCATCCATGAGATGCCAGGAGACACAATGAAGATGACCTCTGGCTGCTGTCTCTCCCCTCCCCTGGGCACTCAACTCCTGAAGTGGGATTGTCATGCAGAAAGAGGCTTCCCGTTGTCCTCCAGACAACTCCAGGGTCCTGGCACAGAGATTTTTCCTGAATGTGGGGGTGAAGCAAGCCATAAAGCACATAGCTCTTCATCCCTTTCCAAAGTATTAAGATAGCTGGCAGGAGATCATGAAAAGTGCAAGTGAAAGGACACTCTCAAAGAAGTGGAGAATGAGGTAA